CCGACCTCATCACCAAGAGAAAGTTGCGCCACTACTTCGAGACGCATCCCGTAACGGTTGTGACGTCGTTCCCCCTCGGCGAGGTCGTCCAGAGCCAGGACGCCACGGGAAGAACTGCAAAGTGGGCACTCGAGTTGATGGATCAAGGCATCACATATGCCTCCCGAACGGCGATCAAATCCCAGGTGTTGGCTGACTTCATCGCTGAATGGATTGAGGTCCAGACGCCACCGGCAGTCGTCGATCAAGAGTACTGGACGATGTACTTCGACGGGTCGCTGATAAAGAAGGGCGCTGGCGCAGGGCTGGTCTTCGTGTCACCCCTCGGGGTCCGCATGAGGTACACGGTTCGTCTCTATTTTCCCTCATCAAATAACGTGGCCGAATATGAAGCACTCATCAATGGCCTACGCATCGCCATCGAGTTGGGCATCTGACGCCTCGACATCTGAGGCGACTTCCAGCTGGTCGTCAACCAAGTCATGAAAGAGTCCAGCTGCCACGACGCCAAGAGGGCTGCGTACTACCAGGAGGTCCGACGGATGGAGGACAAATTCGACGGCCTCGAACTCAACCACATCCCAAGGCGCCTCAATGAGGCGCCCGACGCACTTGCAAAAGCGGTGTCCGGTCGAGAGCCGGTGCCAACAGGTGTCTTCGCCAGCGACCAACATAAGCCCTCGGTATGCTATGAAGGGGCGGAACGGGCCGACAATGGGCCATCTGATCCAGCCCCGGGGGCTAACCAACCGACGGCTCCCTCCGGCCCCGAGGTCATGGAGCTTGAAGAGGAACCAGCGATAGAGCCTGACCCTTTGGACGACTGGAGAACACTCTACCTCGACTACCTCCTCCGTGACACGCTGTCGACGAACAAGACGAAGGCTCGATGGCTCGCACGTCGCGCCAAATCCTTCATTCTTGTAGAAGGCGAACTCTACAAACGGAGCCCCACCGGGATCTTACAGCTCTGTATCCCAGTCGAACAGGGAAAGCTTCTGTTGAGCGATATCCACGGTGGGGTCTGCGGTCACCAAGCCGCGCCTAGAATCTTGGTTGGGAATACATTTCAACAGGGCTTCTACTGGCCCACTGCAGTAACCGACGCCGAGCAAATCGGCGCACCTGTGAAGGGTGCCAGTACTACGCTCGGCAAATTCACCTTTCGGCCCAGGCACTCTAGATGATCCCCATCACGTGGCCCTTCGTGGTCTAGGGGCTCGATCTGGTTGGGCCTCTAAAAAGACGCCCGGGGGCTACACCCACTTGCTTGTCACCGTAGACAAGTTCACAAAATGGATCGAAGCTCGGCCGATCTCCATCATCAAATCCGAGCAAGCTGTGTTGTTCTTCCTCGACATCATCCATCGCTTTGGAGTACCAAACTCCGTCATCACAGACAGCGGCACACAGTTCACCGGCAAGAAATTCATTTGATTCTACGATGAACAACACATCCGAGTCGATTGGGCTGCCGTCGCGCACCCCCGAACGAACGGGCAGGTTGAGCGCGCAAACGGCATGCTCCTACAGGGCCTCAAGCCCAGGATCTTCAACCGGTTGAACAAGTTCGGTGCACGTTGGGTCGTCGAGCTCCCTGCGGTGCTCTAGAGCCTAAGGACAACTCACAGCCGAGCCACCGGTTACACATCTTTCTTCATGGTCTACGGTTCCGAGGCCGTCCTCCCGATAGACCTCGACTATGGAGCGCCAAGAATCAGTGCATACGACGAACAGGGAGTCGAGGCATCCCACGAAGACGCCATGGACCAGCTAGACGAAGCACGGGACGTCGCCCTCCTCCGTTAGGCCAAGTACCAGCAGACGCTGCGTCGGTACCACAGCCGACGGGTGTGGGACCGAGCCTTCAACATTGGGGACCTGGTTCTGCGCCTCGTACAGAGCAACAAGGACCGTCACAAGCTCTCCCCGCCCTAGGAGGGGCCCTACGTCGTCGCGGAAGTACTCCGGCCAGGCGCCTACAAGTTGAAAACCGTCGACGGCGAGGTCTTCACCAACGCCTAGAACATTGAGCGGCTACGTCATTTTTACCCTTAAATAAATGCATACTCTTTCTTATCAGTTTTGTCTCCAAAAATCCCCAATCTTTAGTGACTTCTGACCCCTGCAAAGAGCGAGGGGTCGGACCTCACTTGGGAGCTGATATACATTGTTGTGAGCAATTTCAGTGACAAGGAATTAATAGCCGGAAGATACTCCTAGTCCTAGATAGGAATAGGAATAATGAATTTCTTTGAATAGCAAGCAGTATTGAAGTGAGCGAGGGAGGGGATTTGTTTGGTACTAGACTGCACTGAAGGGTGGTCCGAGCCGCCCTGCAAGACCTAGTGAATCTGCCTACTGTATTTGATTTGATTTTTGTTTTGTTTTGTGGGAAAGAAAGCAAAGAAATGTATCAGCAAGCAAGATTAAGAGAACAAACCTTGACGCGTGAGGTGTCAAGGTCGAGGGGCACATTGGCCGGGTCGCCGACCGCGAGTAGCGCGTCGTCGTCGGGGACGGCGCATAGCGCGGCGACCGCCCGCGCGGCGGTCTGTCGGCATCGCAGGAACGGGGAGACGAGGACCCGGTGGAGGGCCCATCCCTGCTTGGCGGCGGCGGCCCTGATGCACTTGCCGACGGTCCAGGCGCGGAGGAGGCCGGCGTCGTCGAGCGGCGGGTCCCAGGGGCGCGGCTTGTTGGCGGGCCACATGGGCTCGGAATGGTCGAGGCGATCACCGTGGCGCATGACGACGACCCGCTGCATTCGGTCCCCGGTGAAGGAGGCGGCGGCGGGACGAGGAGGATGGGGTCGGGGGCCGTCGGAGGACACGCACGCGCACCTGCTTCTGAGTTCTGCCTCCCACCCAACCCGTTTTTTATTGGTTCTATATCCATTCAAATTTAAGTTCACTCTAATTTTATCATAAGTCAACTTCTTTAAATTTGATTAAACTTAAACAAAAATACACCGACGTTTCTGACACCAAATTAGTTTTCTCAAGTTATACAAAAATGTGTTTTGCTAATCTATTTATTTAAAACTTGTACATATCACTATATTTTTTTAGGAAAACTTGGTAAAAGTTATATATATGTTTCATACAGAAGCCAAAGTAAACTATAATTTGGAATGAATAGACAAACTAACCTTATACTAGTACTTACTGTACTGTATTAGATGTATAAAGGGAACATGTCCAACAAATAACTTCAAACTACGTATGAAACGAACTTCAGTAAGATGGACATTTGGGTATAGTAAGATGTGTAAAACTGTGCGTTGAATGCTTCATCAGTGCCCTAAAACCAGTAAGATGGACAGGGGCTATGCCCTGGTAGCTGGTATTCTAAAATATGGTTTTACTGAGCATGTCAAATCGTAACATATATGATACTATGATTGATTTTTTGTATCCCCTTTGAATCTGGACATGAACAAGCTGCCGCAGTTTCGTCTCATGGTTGAATGGATGGATATCAACTCAACTCTTGTTATGCCCACAAAAACACCAGCAGCAGCAGCACTACCACCACCACCAACAAAGTGCTGTATCGTCGCAAAAAGAAAAGGTGCTGTATCGCCTTCTTATTTATAACAGTATATATAAGCACCATCAGCAAAAGTATGTCTTCTCATCACCCGCCAACAAGGGCGCCACTTATTAATTCATTCAGATTTCAGAGTCAGAGAAACAGACTCGAACATACACATAGACAGCTTATATAAGAAAACCGGCATAGATATCATTACCCCGTTCCCCTAACCAGATCATACTGCTGGTAGCTTCTCCATTTACATTTATTCATTAACATGCCCTTGCTTCATTTGATGCTACCTGTCTATCTCTAGCTAACTGTATCCGGGATGAGCACTATGGACCCAGAGGTCTTCCTGCCCTCCAGATCTGCATGGGCTTGGGCAGCTTCCAACAACGGATACGTGTGGTTCACGCGAACGCGCAGCACCCCATTAGCGAAAAAAAGGGCGTACCCAGTGCAGAGAGCTCCCGCTCACGCAAGGGTCTGGGAAGGTGTTAGTGGCAAGCCTTACCTCGCTTTGTGCAATGCGAGGAGACCATGACTTCGAACCCCGGACCTTCCGGTCACAAAGTGGTAAGACTCTCACCGCTTGCACCAGCCCCGCCTTCGCAGCAGACCCCATTAGCGACATTGGCAAAAACCTCCCCACCGACTCAAAGACTCATCACGGTAGCAGCAGTAATGCATGAGGCTAGGCCGAGTAAGGAACAACGACTTGGAAGCCGTGTCGCTCATTGGGATTGGGTCGAGTTTACACGACGACCGCCCAAGGACACCAGAAGCCAGCGGGATGCCAAGCACTCGTGGAAGCCTCGCACGCATCATGAGATCTGAGATCGTTTGGTATTGGTACTTGTATTTATGAAGGCGGGGCCTGGTGCGGTGGTGAGAGCTGTCTCACCGAGTCACCAGTCACAGTTCAAGCGACCTTTCTCCGCAGATTTTATGGGGGAGGCTTGCCTCGCTTTTTCCTTCCCTGCCCCACTCATGTGGGAGCCTCCGACCCTGGTCTCGCCCCCTTTTTATTTATGATGGCAACCAGTTTCAATTAGTTGCAAGACCGAAAGGTTATGACCAGAGTTGGATGGATGCTAAACGTTAGCTCACGGTTGATAAGAATAAGATGAAAACTCTAGCAACGGCGCAAAGGCCGACAACAGGCAGTTATTATAGTATGATAATAACTAGAGATGTACATATATAGTACCTTGTATGTATCCTTTCCAACAGAATCATAGACGACGTTGACACCTTTTCCTGATGTAATCTCCTTGACTCTTGCTACGACATCTTCGCTAGTGTAAATTATGGGATGGTGGCATCCATCCTGAGCTGCCTGAGCAGCTTTGTCTTGATTGGAAACAGTCCCGATGACAGTGGCACCGAGCGCATTTGCCCATTGACAAAGGAGCGAGCCAACTCCGCCAGCAGCGGCATGGACCAGGACAGTATGGCCACTCTCAACCTGAGTGCACCACGGTAATAATGAGAAGGGAAAAACTGTGCTGTGCGACAAAAATAAATTTTGTCACGGTAATAGTGCAAGCTTTGTATCACGGCATGGCAATCAGGTGGGTCACGAAATTACATTTTGGCTAGCTCTGAATGCGAGCAAGCATACTGAACATATATGCGCAATATGTGATAAGGGGTTGTCAAAATAGCAGGAGGAGGAGATAGAAGAAGAAGGGATGAATGATAATCTCATTCAATTAGCTCATGGCTGAGATCTCAGACTGGATACTGTAAGAGGAGGGATAAGAACCAATCAATTAATCAGTGGTTATAACCCCTTGTTGGTTGGGTTTATTATATGTACTCCTAGTGCCTTGAATACCCAGTCTCCTACCTTGAATACCCGGCGAAGCAAATAATGGGCGGTCATGCCCTTGAGCATCACGGAAGCTGCTTGCTTATGATCAACGGAAGGTGGAACGGGAACAGCGACAGCCGCTGGAAGGATCTGCTCCTGAGCATAGGAGCCCATGGGGTTGCCAGCATATGCAACGACATCGCCGACCTTTCTGCCAGTGAGGCCAGGCCCAACAGCGGCGACGACGCCAACAGCTTCCATTCCTGCGGGATCGGAATTGCAATGCAACAGATAAGTATATTCAGAGAAGATGAGAAGATGCCACCCCTTTTTTCTCCCCTCCCTGGCTAGGGGCTAGGGGCTAGGGTATACCTGGAGTGAAGGGCATGGTGAGCGCGGCGTAGACCCCCTTCCGGAAGTAGATGTCGATGAAGTTGACGCCGACGGCGGTGGTCCTGATGCGGATCTCCCCTTCCCCGGGCTCCCCGACCTCCACCTCCTCCCATCGCAGCACCTCGGGGCCGCCCAGCTCATGGACCCTGATGGCCTTGGACTTCACCATGGCGATGGAGGGGGCGTCGCGGCGGTGGCAGCGGAGCCGGAGTGCTGAGGCCCAGGGTGTTTGGGTTTTGCCCTCCCCTAATTTCTCCCCTAGGGATCCTAGTATATTGTTTGGTGGCAAGCAAAGCTAAGTTGGGGAAGAAACTGAAACCGGGTGGGAGGATTTGGGAGAACGAGTGGCTGTCGAAGAGGAGAAACGATGGAGGAGCAAGCAGAATGCGTCATCGCCGACGTCTGATAATGATCCACACGTACTGTACTCTCCTCTTTCTTCCACCAACTCAACTAATCCTGTCCCGACCAGTAGGGCCTTGTTTAGTTTCAATCCGATAAATAGTAGCACTTTCGTCTTATTTGATAAATATTATCTAATCATGGACCAACTAAAGTCTCATTTAGTTGAGGCTAGAATCGGCGCCGCCGTAGCGCCTGTAACTACAGTAGCTACTGTAGCATTTCGTTTGTATTTGGTAATAATTGTCCAAACGTTGACTAATTAGGTTTAAAACGTTCGTCTCGTAAAGTACAACCAAACTGTGCAATTAGTTTTTGATTTCGTCAACATTTAGTACTCCATGCATGTACCGCAAGTTTAATGTGACGGAGAATCTTCTTTTTGCATAGTGCCAAATTTTGGATTTGGGGTGAACTAAACAGGGCCTAAGCTCAAAAGATTCATCTCGTGATTTCCAACTAAACTGTGTAATTAGTTATTTTTTTTACCTACATTTAATGCTCCATGCAAACGGCTAAAAATTAATGTGATGAAGAGAGAATGAAAAAACTTGGAATTTTGAGGGTATCTAAACAAGGCCTAGGAAATGTCTGTCTTGTCTGTCGTTTTTGTTTTTCGAGGCCCCGTTTAGATCACCTCTAAATTCCAAGTTTTTTCACTCTCTCTCTCCATCACATCAATTTTTGGACGTATGCATGGAGCATTAAATGTAGGTAAAAAAATAACTAATTACACAGTTTAGTTGTAAATCACGAGACGGATCTTTTGAGCCTAGTTAGTCCATGATCGGACAAAGTTTGTCAAATACAAACGAAACGTGCTACAGTGTCTAGGTTGCAAAAATTTGCAATCTAAACAAGGCTCGAGAAACAACTTTGACTAAAATATATATTAAAACAATATTAATATTTATGATATATAATTAATATTATTGGTAGATATCTGAATCTAGATTTTTAATAAATTTATTTATAGATAGAAATGTTGCATGTATTTTTTATAAATCGAGTCAAAGTTATTAATACGTAAATCGTGACGATAAATATCTAAAGACAGAGGAGTACATGTCCGTGGAGTTAAGTACTGTGCTGTAATCGGACTGTTTGTCCACGCCAAACCAAACATCCTCCTCACCGTTATCATTTCTCATTTTATTATCACGCTCCCCGTGTCAAGTGCAAAGTCACCCAAATGCCCACCTCGATCGTTACAGCCTATTCGGTTGACTGATTTGTGGGTATTGCTGCTGGTTCATTTATGTAAAAGAAAAATACTGCTGACTGGTTTAGATAAACAGTGTTTTTATGAGCCCGCCCCAGCCAAACGAGCTGTGACATCAATACATTGCAATTAAGTCGGTGGTTTGGCGTGAAATCAATCGCACATGGATTGAGGTGAACAAGCCTTTACTGATCCAAACAAGCCTTTACTGAATAAAACATTCTATGTGCTAGCTGTTTTTTAATACTGCTAGAGCTGCCTAAATACATTGCAATTAAGGCCCTGTTTGGTTCCGAGCTCCTAAAACTTTAGTTCCTAAAAGTTTTAGGTAGCCTTCTAAAACATTCTAAAAGAGTGTTTGGTTGTACCTTCTAAAACTAACTAAAAGCAATAAATGTTGTTGAACAAAGACACTTTTACCCTTCTTTAGGAGAGAGAGAGGGGGGGAGGGGGCAATAAATAAGGGATAGTGGGGGTCCAGGAAAAACTTTAGGAGGTTTTAGGAGGGGGTGGAGCTCCTAAAGAAAAAACAGCCTCCTAAAACTTTTAGGAGGTTTTAGGAGGAGGTGTTTGGTTCTTTAGACAGATTCTATCCAGATTTTAGCTCCTAAAGCTTTTAGGAGGGGTAACCAAACAGGGCCTAAGTCCAAAAAACAACAAGTACATTGCAGTGCAGGCCTCTCTCTCTCTCTCTCTCTCTCTCATCAAACTTCCTGGACAAACGCACAAGAGCAGTAAGGTCCACAACAACACAATTAATTAACAACCAGGTAGTACACTTTGTTAGCCCCATCTTTTCTTTCCTTTTCCCCCTATTGATCGAATTCCTGTACAGCTTATACAGCACAACCCCATTGCTGCTGGTATCAAATCAAAACTCTCCCAAAGACCTCAGCGTGAAACATTCCGTGTCACAGCCACCACTGCATACAGCAAAACAGCAGCTGAGAGCAGCTTCTTCGAAGCAAAAACTCTCAGACTGATCTTCACCCTGCGCGACCTCATCAACTTCAGTACCGCTTGCCCCACTAGCACCATCAATGAACATACAGCACCAAGAGCCATTCTTGCAGCATGCTTTGGCCCGCCCACCGTGTTCAGCTCGTTGCCATCAAACTGAACGTAGGTAGCGCCAGGAGGGCTACCTTCAGCATCAGCACAGTCAAGCCCCAGGGCATCATTCAACCAATCAGAGAGGCGGATCAGAATCCTTGCAAGCCAGGCCACTTCAGTCTCTGAGATGGGCCTTTTCATCCACTCACCTTTGTATTTAACATCAGCCCAAGAACCCTTCCTCAAGCTGGGATGCTTAGGTGTGAATGCCTCCCCACGCACCTGATGGTGTTGATTATGTAATTTCTCCAACGAGGTATTCCCATTAATTCTTTCAATGTGGCCCTGGAAGGCTGTTTTCATCTGTGACTTGATAGAATCCATCGTCTGGAGTGCTTGTTGCGTGTCACCAGGAAGGCGTAGTATCTCTGACTCTGCTCGGATCAAAAGTAGCTTCATAAAAATCAAAATTGCATGTCAGTACTCAGCTCACAAAATTATAAAAAAACACATGTACGTTAAGCATGCAAAATTCAGCCATCATATACATATATAAACATGAAAACAGGGCAACTTTCCACGTTGACATACATAAATGATGTTAAATAAATATCAGATTGTGCTAACCTATAGCCATTAGCCAAGCAATTTATACAAGAATATATTAGCTTAGAAAATCAACCACTACAAGGTAAAGCATGATGGCTTCATGGCGTGTTTCATTCAGAAAGCATTTGTATACCCTTCTCACTCCGCATTCTGAACTGTTCACTCACTACTTCCAAAATTTACGTTATACAGCCTTACCAATTACGTACTAACCCAGGTCTAAAAAAAGGCAACCTTCTAAGCCAAAGATTGGAAGCGAGCCTGTGAAACGGATGAGAGATGCCAATTACTCCCTCCGTTCTGTTTTAGTGGGCATACGTTTTCTTGACTTAGAGACCAAGGAGGTTCCTAAGTGACAAAATTTCCCTTGCTTAGCCTTAAGCATGTATGCTACTAGCTTTTACTTTATCGCTTTGGTCCTTGCATGCAGCCGCATGCATATACATGCATGCCCAAGTAAAATGCTTCCAAAGCTGGGAGGGATTAAATGGATGGCATGCCCACGCAGAGCAACCAGGGGTATAGTGGTCAGTTAGTGCTTTGATAAAATGATAACTGTGTATTCCTACTAAATCTGAACAAACGACCAAAATCTACAAGCCCTCTAAAACAAAAAGGAGGGAGTGAAGACATACCTGAAGAAGATTATAAGCCCCATTCTCATCATAACGGAAATGCCTTAGATCAGAGTTCCAATGCTCATGCAACAATGACCCATCTGCATCACTTTCTGACAAACCATCCTCCCAGTCCTGATAGAAATGTGCATGTCATGCAAACAATTAGGATTGCAACTTCATACTGCACTATTTTTCAACATTTTTTGCACCATTTAAATGGCAATTGACTAAGTAAGAATGCATGCCCTACCTTTAGCTGTTCACGGATTGATGGCACATACTTCAACACCTCATCAGATGCTGGGGATGATGCCACTAGCCTAGAGTGACAAGCAGCGTCCACTTCATGGAGAAGACCTAATAAATCCGGGGAAGAGCTCAAGACCTCCAACACCTGGAGAGCCCGAACAATTATGTAATATACACATTACAGACTTACAGTAGTTTATGAAGGTCATTAGACAAAGCTGACATCTTTTGTTTGATTCATCTATTCATTAGTTTATGTGACAAACAAATCTGAGAAGCATTTTTAAAAAGAATTCATATTATACAAAGCTATACTAAGCATAAGGAGTATCCCACTGATTTCCTGATAACTTAAAGAGTTTGAAGGCATGTTGGGCATAGCAAGATATCTTTCGTTTAACAAAAACTTAAATGTATAATTGAAGGGAAACCTGAACTGTGCAAAGACATATCCTGAGTACGATTTCTCCAGTTGCATGGCCTTCAAATAGAGATCGGCATAGCAGAAACTAGTACTCACGATCTGACACAAATTCTAGAGCATTAACCCAACTCAAGGGCTTACCACTAAGGATGATGCAAATTGATAACTTTTCAGTTCCAGTTTGTCCTCATACAGCAAAATATATCATCAGGCATCCATAAGATAAAAGCATCTCTAAAATAGCAGTCAAAATGTATAATCTGTATTCATAGTTTCAACCTTTAGGCATTGAGTAAAGGACCCGTGCATCTACGTATTCTAACAGGTGTATATTTCCCACGGACTCGGCTTCTGCTGTACACTTTGCTGGAGACATCAAGCACTACTCAACTCGACATAATATAATTATATAATTCGTAATCATGACTTATGCGCCAAACTAACACTCCCAACTAATTTCTATTGTTTCGGTGGCTATGAGCATTCATCACTAACAATCATTAGTGAGCAAGGAACACGTGAGGCATTAGGTATTAAGGTTGACCATATATATAAGTAGCATTAGCAAAAGAGTATAGTCCAGGACTTACCTTGTGTACCATTAGCAGCACTGAGGCAACATCAGAATGGATAAACTTGTGCGCAAATCCCAGGAAATGCACAATCATCGAGTTGTAGAACAGGTAATTTGACAGAACATAAGTCCTCCACGATGAATTGTACACCATCTTGGTTGTTTGTGGCACCTTCTCATCCCCGGCTTGCTGCTTGCCATACCCATCCAGCTCCTGTTGGGTAACTTTCCATGGCTCCATGTAAGCCAACCACACAGAGAAGACTTGTGTTGCATTTTTTATCACGGCACCGATGGGGCAGAATAAGAAGGTCCTTAGTACAAACCGGTACAGAGGCCTCTGTATCAACGGATTCCAGAACCCAACCTGGGCATCGCAGAGCCCATTGGACACTGGCATTCCTTGAGGAGATGGCATGCGTGCATCGACTAATGCGCGGCCATCACAGCAGTTGAGGTACATGACAAGCAGCTTCACTGCATCACCCAGGCCTGGTGATGGTGGCCGCTCACTCAAGTCGGCACGAGCACGAGAAGGTAACCGCAGGCCGAGTGCATGGCAAGTCTGCATGGGGAGCGGGGAGAAGTCATCGCCGACAAGCCAGAACTGGACAAGGGTGTGAAGGAAGAACTCGGCCCGTGCAAACGAGTCGATGGCATCCGCGCCATCGCTGGGTGGCCGGTGGAGCAGGGTGCCGCCCCCGGGCATCTTACCCAGCGGAGTGCGCGTTGGCACGTGCTCCGTGAGGTAGGCATAGAGCAGCCTGAGGTATAGCGAGCTCTCGGGCTTCTGACCGGGTTTGCGTATGGCCGTGGTGGCGAGAGTAGAGACCCAGGTCTCGAGGCGGGCGCGCGAGGTTTGTCGAGGGTTGGAGGCGGATGCGGCGGGGGCGGCAGAGGATGCGGACGAGACAGGGTAGTAGGCAAACCAGAAGAGGTAGTACTCGAAGACGGAGAGGTGGAGCTCGGAGGCGACGCGGCGCGACAGGAGCGGCGAGGCGAGGTCGGTGGAGGGGGGAGACCCGAGGGCGAGGCGGAGCCAGTCGGGGAGGCGCTCGGAGGGGAAGACGTAACGGATGAGGGCGAGGCGGTCTGCGGCGGCGGCGGCGGCGAGAAGCGGGCCGGTGGGGAGAGGAGGAGAGGAGGAGGTCGGCGAGCGCGGGGTCGGCGGCGGCGAGGTCGATGAAGGATGGGGAGGACCGGGCGGAGACGAAGAGGCGGTAGAGCAGGGACGGGAAGGCGTCGGCGAAGAAGGCCCGCGGTTGGTCGTCGGCGTGGCGGGCGAGGTAGTCGATCACTCTGGATGTGGCGGCGGCGGCGGCCGGGGGCGTGGCGGCGTCGAGGACGGCGGCGGCGAGGGAGGACGCGTCGGCCCCGGGCGGCATGGCGGCGGCGGCAGCGGTGAGGGAGTGAGGCCTAGGGTTTTTGGTGGGATTCGGGCCTTTTTGAATTTGCCTTTCTCTCTTCCTAGACTGGGCAGCAGCCAGCAGGCAGAGAAGGGAAGAGAAATCCGGACGGAAATGGCGCTCGCCTAGTCGTCCAGTCCCCTCTTCCAACTTCGAATTCGTCGCGTCGGAGCGGCGAGGAGAGAAGACCCCGCCCCTGTCTGTGTGTCTGTCTGTCTCTCGCAATGACACACACACACGTGGACGCTTGGACGGTCCAGGGTCCACCAACCGCTCCCCACGTCCTTGCGCTTTGGGCCCAAGAGGAAAGCAGGCGACGCGTGGCCGCCGACCGACGACCGTCGTGCTCCTCCGCTTCCCCACTCCATTCGCCTCCCTTTCCATTTTTTTCCCCTTTCTTTTTTCCCGCCCGCCCCGCCAAAGTAAAGATGGCAATTGGTAATTACCCGCTGTGTAGAAATTGCCATCTTTAGCCAAAGGCTTTCCCCCTCCCATGGCTGCGCCTGCGACCTCCTACGAGCGCCGACTGCTCGCGGCCGCCGACCTCGTCCTCTCCACCGACGCCCAGGATCAAGCTACCCGCCTCCTGGACCTCGGCGTCACGGCCGACCTCAACCCGCACCAGCTCCATGGCGTCGCCTGGCTCATCCGCCGCTACCGCCTCGGCGTCAACGTCGTCCTCGGTACGTCCTCAAAATCCCCCTCATCTCCTTCCAATTGCTGACCTCTCCAACGCTAGCTTCTTATTCTCTGCCTGCTCCGTTTGCTCGCAGGTGATGAGGTGAGCTTTCGTCCGCCGCCGCCGCCGCCTCACCTTATTACCACACACCACTGTCGACGGTGTGCCCGCAACTGAAGCCTCCTCGCGCGAATACATCTTTCGCCATTTCATTTGCCTACTCTGTCCCCCATTTTGTCCTCTGTTCTATATATTTCCCTTTATTTATTACAAATAAATCTCTACTGCGTGGTCAGTCTATGTTTTGCTTATTATCAGTTATATAAACCTTCGTTTATGTCGCCAAACCCTACATTATCTTCCTACATTCCATCAAATCAAACAACTCTTTTATATATATATATATATATATATATATATATATATATATATATATATATATATATATATATATATATATATATATATATATATATATATAGAAATCAAACAACTCTATGAGACTAGGGGCGTGTTTGGTTCCGCGTATCTGCCCGTTTCGATCGAGATAAGCCAAGAATCCCGCCAAATAGACTGCGACCAACGCGCGATGGCCGGTTGAAAACGAACGCGGGCGGGCGTTTCCCAAAACGCGGCCTCGGAGGCGCTTGGCTTAAACGCGGTCGCGCGTTCGTGAGTTGCGGAACCAAACATGCCCTAGGAAGCTTGCATCCATGTATAACTGCTTTTCCATGCCATATTACTCACGCTATCCAATTTTATGGGCCTTTGACCATGTGCAGATGGGGCTTGGCAAGACCCTACAAGCCATTTCTCTATTGAGTTATCTCAAGATCCAGCGTATTGCACCCGGACCATTTCGTAAGTACCCTTCAAGTGATTTCTTTTCTTTTTCCTTTTTTCTTTTACATTGGATTTCACCGTGCTTCTACTTGTATTTTGATCCCGTAAGGTCATCCTTGCAGTGGTCTTATGTCCTCTAAGCGTTACAGATGGCTGGCTGTCAGAATTCAGTAAACTCTGTCCTTCCTTCAGGGTGCTGCAGTATGTTGGTGATAAGCTTCACCGACGTGACCTTCGGAGGACCATCTATGAAGATGTACAGAAAGCTTCCACATCATCTCGATCCAACTAATGCTCTTCTGTTACAGAAAATATTCTTGGTTCAATATTCCTTAGGTGTATCCCATGATTCCCGTCAATATGTGTCACATCTTTCCTTTTCTTGGTTTTTTTTTTGCATGTAACAGGAATTACCATTTGATGTGCTCATGACAACATATGACATAGCCTTGATGGATCAAGATTTCCTTTCACAAATCCCCTGGCACTATGCAGTTATTGATGAAGCTCAACATCTTAAAAATCCATCCAGTGTGAGCAGACACTTAATCTTTGTAACTCACCTGAGAATTTCAGAAATCCAATTGCATCACTAATTCTATGGTTATGACTGCCGTGTGCAAAGTTTTTTCCTGGTACTGCCCTTTTGTCACCGAGCAGCTCTTGGTACCACAGCACTATAAGCTTGTACCTACCTTCATTTTTGTGTCATGTGGGGTTATCAGTTTGTTTATAAGTAGCATGGAAGCTCAGACTTTCGGTGCTGCAAGGGGAAAAACATCTTTACTTCCGACTTCTGAGTAGTATCTTGGTAGAGCATTTATAATGTCAGAGCTAGATTTGTCATTGTGACTGAGCAACTACTAATAGTTATGATCTGATTCAATTATCGTTTTTGAGCAATAACTAAAGAATAGCTATGACCTGGCACTAAGCAGAAATACTCATATTTTACAAGCAATTTCTGGACTTCAGGTTCAGCTGTTCAGGTGCAATCTATTTTCGGCTTGTGAGGGCTAGAACCATCACAATGCTCAAAAATAATCTTCCTGGCATTCAACTATTTACCACTTCCGCAGCAAACAAATTACAATTTTATGTTTGTTCATCAGCATTGGTCTGCACTTTCAGATTTCAATTGAGCATGTAACCCAACTGTTAAATTTATATTTATTAGGCACCTGTCGGTTGGTGTTATTGTGTTAATATATACACCTGCCAAGGCATACAGACAAGTGTGCATGTGACAAATGCTATATGCTGTACCTTTTCATTTTGTCCTTTTAGTTCACTTATCATAGAAAATTGTCTTTATCTTTATATGGTATCGTGGAACAAACTTCCGTCTTTGACTCAGGAAGTTCTTTTCCAGGTACTGTATAATGTCCTTGAGCAGCGTTTCATCATGCCAAGACGTCTACTACTAACAGGCACTCCTATCCAGAACAACCTTTCTGAATTATGGGCTTTGATGCACTTTTGTCTGCCTTCAATATTTGGAAAGTTGGATGAGTTCCTTTCTACATTTAAGGAAGCAGGGGAATCATTGACAGGTATTACATTGAAATTGTTGAGCGATGCATTTTTAGCATTTGTTAATTGCCAGGTATCTTTTGTTCTGAGCAACAGCACATTTGTGCACTTTAGCTGGGAGCACTATATGCATGATGTAGCACCTGCGCTTGTTTGGTGCATCGTGCAGTATATTCTATTGGTAAAATTTGCACAGTTTCTTCATGCTTCGTGTTGTATCATATTTGTGTAGGTGTATTGTGTTGAATGGTTAATGCTATTATCCTTTGGTCTACTCATTCTCTTAATAGAACACACAAAACCAGAGCATGCCTTTACATGGAAATCAAAACTTGTAGTGCCTTTACAAATTTGAATCTGTTTTAGACCAATTGTTCCTGCATCAAACAGTTCTCTCAACCATTTATTCACTCATCATTTCTTTCATATTGGTTTTGTGTTTATTTTTTGGGGCTCTACATTGAAAGTAATTCTTTTGGATCTCTGAAATGTCAATATCTTGTTTCTGAACAGGTGATGAAGCTAATAAAGCAAAAAGACAATTCAAGATCATTAAACATATACTCAAGGCATTTATGCTACGTCGGACAAAAGCTTTACTAATTGTGAGTGGAATTCTAGTGCTGCCTCCACTAACTGAGCTAACAGTGTATGGTTCTTTGTTTTAGGAGGATATTTTCCCATTTCTTTGTGCTCTTGCCCTCTCTATCTTCTTAATCTGTTATAAATGATTTTTACAGGATGGTGCCGCTGACAGTTACAAAAGAAGCTTTGCATGTCAGTGTCGCGGAAAGAGCTGCCAACACTTATTTCATTTACTAGAGGATCATCTCGCCACCAGTCTTCGCAAAACATTGTAATTTTGTTTCTTCCTATGTTTTCTTGTGAACTAGCATTTTGTATGTTCTGCTGTAGTGTCGGACTCTGGTCTGTAGGGCCGAGAGTGACGGGAGCTCCGCTATGTGCTAAGTGTTCGAGCGTGTGCTCGAGGTTTGAACTTAGTGGTTCTGTTGTGGTGTGCGAGTGAACTGAGGGATCTATCTGTTGGGAGAGAGTGCATCTCCTTTTATAAGTGAAGGGGATGGCCTTACAAACGAAAGAGAGAGAGAGAGAGTACGCATGTTACTAAGTCTTGTTGCTCACGCCGTCGGGTACAAGATAATTGTAGGTGCCCATAACATTGTTAATGTCAGATGCATGTGGTAGGTTGTGTCGGCTTCTTTTGGTATGGTAGACGTCGGTGCCTATCATACTGTCGATGCCTAGAGGCATGCAAGGGGTTTTATCGTGTTCGTCTGGTATGGGAGTTTGCAGGCGCCCACAACACTGTAGGGCAAATGTCGGCGCCCACAATACTGCTTGGGTTCTGACATGCCTGGAAGGTTGCAGGGCACTCTTCTGACATGTCATGTTGGTACTGTCCTGCAGATGCGTAGGGTATAGTCCTCGGTATTGTTGTTGACTTTGAGCGTCATGCCTACTTGCTCCGCCTGTTTTCTGGTCCTCACCGAGCGGGCGTCCCCGGTCGGTTGGTCTCAGTCGGTTTTGTAACAGAACCGACCAATTATACGAAATTAAGTAAGAAAATCATCCGCCAGAGCAGACGATTTAGCAAACTTAAGCCCGTATAACCTGGTAGTCCGTGAAATAACGAAGGATTTCAAACCAACTTCCATTCTAGCCAAGATCGTAATAAGTTTAGCGGTCACCATCATATATTACATAAAAGTTCGCATCACAGATACATCAGAGTTTAAACATAGTTATTACAAAACGAGTTCAAATAAAAGTAGCGGAAGCCATTTGTTTCAAACCACACACACTCACACGGAGTTCAAATACAGTGCCAGCTGATGATCATCTCCAACAAAAGCATTAGACGAGACGTACGGAATAACCATGCCCATGGTCCTAAGCATCATCCATCGCAGGATAAAGGCAGTTGATACAGTAGCCGTAATACATCTGCCCATCTGCAACAAGTGAGAATAAAACCCTGAGTACGAGAAGGTACTCAGCTAGACTTACCCGACATAACCGAAAATAAATGACACCAAGGATTATGAAAGGCTTTATAGTAGGGTAGCTGACTCATTTGCAAAAAGAGGCATTTTTAGCATTTCAAGAACCTTTCAAAAGCATTATTGTCAAGTTAATTATTTATAACTTGTCGACTAGATTTGCACCTACACTAGAGCAAACATGTGATTAAGCCAATAATGATAACCAATGATCATTAACCACTTCCATATTGTCATATGCATTATAACTGTCCAAGTGTTCCATTAACATTACTACGATGAAGTAACTCAAGTCAAGTGCTCACTATCTAGGAGCGATGGCGATTCGAATCGATTCCTAACCAGCTGGTGATTTATTCCTTACACAAACCTCATTCACCCGCTAAAGTGAGGTATTGATCACCGAGTCAACTATCCAGGAGTCTCGAGTTTGCCAGGAACCACATGTACCCGGGGGCCGACCGACTGCACTTTGGTCTTATCATCTCGCCCCCGTGTCCTACCACACCTGCTCCGGCACAGTGCGCTGCGGGCAATCTACTCGGCCCGAATAATCTCCCAGCTTCGCGGTCGGAAGGTACTTTATCCGGCCAGCTAAATGTAAGGCATGCGTTCAACATGACTCGAGGCCCAACAACGGTCGGTCTTTAATCGACACAGACGGAAAGCACTACAGTCCAAAACTCTGTAAGTCTCTGTCCGGTCTCAACTTCATTTAACACTTAGCTATACCATGACTTCATAGTCATCCAAACAGATCCAGGTAACCACCTATAGCTCGCAGGTGACAGGAAATCACCCGACTTCTACCGGTCTAAGCCAGCTAAGCATTGACTCGACTGCGGATACCAGGGTAATAAGGATATAGTATAACAAAGGTAGAGAAGGTATAATGCAGCAACGGTTGCAAACAACTCCTGAACGTAATGCATCAATTAAAGTAAAGTATTTAATTAAAAATTGCAAACCGTGAGAAAAATGCTCCGGGGCTTGCCTCTCTCGAAGGAGCTCAGGCGGTGATCGGGGCACTCCGGAAGTTCCTCAGCGTCCTCCTCGTCGGCTTCGGGCACTTCCTGCGGCTGCACCTCGAGCTGTTCCTCGGGCTCCTCGGGTATGACGACTGGATTCTCGGTTTGCGATCCTGTATGATGCAATGTGCGTAAGTGCTTATGCAATCGGTGCAGCGGATGAGATGAATACAATGGATATGCTTGAATGCAAGGTAGTCAACATCATCCAAAAACATATACTACAAGCACATGTCATCTACTGCATTCTCTTCTACTACTAATATGCTAAGTCAACACATCTTATTAATGCTTCAAAGATACACCAAAGCTTCACTAATTTCTTAATCACACATAAAGCAACACTTGATTAAACCCTAATTAATAATAGGTTTGAATAGCAACATCTATATTATTGCTTAGAAAAATCTTAGAAAATTACCATATCACAGTACTACCCTAAGTAGTCTACCATCAGATTTTCATGGTATTTGAATGAGTGGATTAGCCTACACAAAAATAACAAGCTATGGCATGATTATGAACCTGAAAATACTTTGTACTGTGAAGAGTGTCAAACAATAGAGGAATTATTTTTTTCTATGTTCTACACAGCAAATAATCACTGCACAAAAATTATCACATGCATGTTTTATACAAATTTTGCTCTCTAACAAAAATAACAAAAATCAGCCATTAAAGGCACTTGAACTACACCTCATAAATTTTCTACAGTACATGCATGACACATATTTTTCCTAGGAAGTACATTACACAAGAAGATTAACAAACTTGGAATCATATTTTTCTGAAGCCTATAGGTTTTTCTACACATTTTTTCAAGTTATCAGCAATATCAAGGATTAAATAAAACTCTATAGAAAAGTATCTCAAAAATGACATGCAATAATTTTATCATGTAGATCTGGTGACAAGGAACCTAGCAAAATTTGTTTCAACAAATTTGGAGCCAAAATGAGTACACAAACATTTTCCAAAGCATTTAAGTAGGAATCTAAAAATTCATTTTTGAAATCCTTTTTAAACTCCAGCTGACGAAATCGTTGGGTGCACCCTGTGCTGTGCACCCAGAGAGGCTGCCAGGCAGGACCCAGCGGGTCAACCGGCCCACTGGCCAGCCACCTAGGGCCTTCGCCAGCCACTGCGGCTAGGCCCTACGGGTCAGCGACCCGGGGGCAGAGGAGGGGCTCCACCGGCAGGTGCTCACCGGCGGCGAGTCCTTCCGGTGGCGTGGGTGGTTCCAGCGTGCATGCCACGCCGAGCCGCACCGGCTGGGATGGTGGACGTGGCCCGGCGGCGTGACGAACCACCTGGCCGCGGCAGCGCGCTCGCCGGAGAGGAAGGAGGCAGCCGAGCTTGGTCCTTACCTCGACGACGGCGGCCGCAAGCGAGCGCAGGCGAGGCAGGGATGCTAGGCGGAGCTTCCGGCGGTGAGAATCGAGGAATGGAGGCGTGGGAGGGGGTATCTTGCCGGGCGAGGCAACAAGGGCGGCGATGGCGAGCTTCGTGGTCGCGCGGAGGCTCAGCTGGTGTCTTGCGTTGAGAGAGCGGGAGGAGGAATGAGGAGGCAGCGGTGGTGTCGGGCGTGTAAGGCGGCGTTGGCGGGAGGCGGAGGCGGGCCGCGGGCTGCCATGGCGGCAAGCGTCGCCGCGCATGGTCGCCACGCCACGCGTTTGGTCTGGCCATTGGTCGGAAGGCGCTTGTGGCGCAATAAGGGCAGGCAGCGTGACGTCTGAAAAGCTGGGTTGGGCCGCGGCGAGGTGGGCTGGCGTGGATGCGGGCGCGGTGGCGAGCCGAGCTGAAAGCTTGGCTTGTGGGCCGAGAAAGGAGGCGGCTGACCCTTGAAAGGAGAAAAGCATTTTTCAATTTTCTATTTTTAAGGAAATTTCAAATAGCAGTTTTCAAATATCATTTTGAGCAAGAAAATGACTTCTTTTGAAAATGGCCAAAAAATAAAAGTTGCTTAGAATTTAGTCCTCTACAACTTTGCTTTAGGGACCAACTAAAAATTTTGCATAGATTTTGAATTGGGAAGCAAAAGCTAAATAGAGAGGATTTTTGACCCTTTCCAATAATAATTTCAAAAGCATATTTTGTCAAAAGTTTGAATACAAACTTTGCTCCAAAAATTGTGCTAAATAATTCTAGATGACTTACAATTATAGCCAAACATGTTTTACTAACCTGGCAAGCATAATCATGGCAAAACAACTCTAAACAAGTGTATGCAACATTCATGTTTCACGAGCATGTTTCGTATGTTTCGAAGCAGTGTTGCAGTTGTTATTTACATGATTAGGCATGTATGATTAGGATGTTTGATGATGCATGATATGTATGATTTACAGTGACTAAATGCTGGCATAACACCGGGGTGTTACAGGTTTCGACTGTGCCAGTCGGAGAAGAGTTGTAAGCAGAGGTTCGGTGTATCCCAGGTCGGAGACGTGGGTCGGAGTCGGAAGCGGTGTTTGGTCAGGCCTTCTAGTCGGAGAGGCGGGCCGGAGCCGGAAGCGAGCGCTGTTCCTCTTTGGCCAGGCCTTCTGGTCGGAGAGGCGGGCCGGAGTCGGAAGCGAGCGTTGTTCCTTTTTAGCGAGGCCTTACAGTCGGAGATTGGATCGTCCTTCTGGCCTGTCGTTTTAGGTGTTTGGGCCGGCGTAGGAGTTGCGCGTCGCCCGCAATGTTGTCTATCGGGCCAAACCTTTGATGGACGGCCGGTCCATAAGGTACCCTGGGTTTATGAACCCGACAGGAGCACCCGGGCGATTCGGGTAGAATCGTTTGAGGGATTTTTGTCCTGACGGCGGGTGCGCACGAGCACACCCGTGGGGGTAGCCCTCGAGCCCCCGAGCGATTCGGGCAGAATCGTCTAGGGGTTTTTTTCGTGTTTCCCAGCGGGGGAAGTTTTGTTTCGTCAGTGGGTGCGCGCGAGCGCACCCGCGGGTGTAGCCCCCGAGCCCTCGGGCGATTCGGGCAAAATCGCCTGGGGGGTTTTGTCAGCGGGCAGTTTTTGGGATTGGGCAAGACGGAGTCGCAGATCCTGGAGTCGGACGTGCCGAGGCAATTTTAGGGATCGGACGAGACGAAGTCGCGGTTCTTGGCGTCGGGCGCAGCCGAGGCAGTTTAGGGATCGGGCGAGACAGAGTTCGCGGATCCTAGCGTTGGGCGCAGCCGAGACAGTTTTAGGGATCGGGTGAGACAGAGTTCGTGGATCCTAGCGTCGGGCGCAGCCGAGGCAGTTTTTGGGATCGGGCGAGACAGAGTCGCGGATCCTGGCGTCAGGCGCCGCCGAGGCTGCTTTTAGGGATCGGGCCAGACGAAGTCGTGGATCCTGACGTCGGGCGCAGCGGAGGCAGTTTAGGGATCGGGCGAGACGGAGTTCGTGGATCCTGGTGTCGGGCGCAGCCGAGGCCGTTTAGGGATCGGGAGAGACGGAGTTCGTGGATCTGGCGTCATTACCGCAATGAGGCGCTTTTTAAGGATCGGCGAGACGGAGTTCGCGGATCCTGGCGTCGGGCGCAGCCGAGGCAGTTTTTGGGATCGGGCGAGACAGAGTCGCGGATCCTGGTGTCGGGCGTAGCCAAGGCCATTTTAGGGATCGGGTGAGATGGAGTTCACGGATCCTGGCGTCGGCGCAGCCAAGGCAGTTTTAGGGATCGGGCGAGATGGAGTTCGTGGATCCTGATGTCGAAGCAGCCGAGGCGATTTTGGGATCGGCGAGACGGAGTCGTGGATCTGGCGTCCGAAGCGCGCAATGAGGTCGCTTTTAGGATCGGGCGAGACGAAGTCACGGATCTGGCGTCGGGCGCATAACCGAGGCGCTTAGGGATCGGCGCGACGAAGTCCCGGATCTGGCGTTAAGCGCGGTGGCGAGCGATTTAGGAATCGGGCGAGACGGAGTTCGCGTATCCTGGCGTCGGGCGCACCTGAGGCTGTTTTAGGGATCGGACGAGACGGAGTTCGCGAATCTGGCGTCGAGAGCAGCCGAGGCAGTTTTTAGGGATCGGGCGAGACGGAGTTCGTGGATCATGGCGTCGGGCGCAGCCAAGGCAGTTTTTGGGATCGGGCGAGACGGAGTAGCGGATGCTGGCGTCGGGCGCAGCCGAGGCTGTTTTAGGGATCGAGCGAGACGGAGTCGCGGATCCTGGCGTCAGGCGCAGCCGAGGCCGTTTTAGGGATCGGGCGAGACGGAGTTCACGGATCCTGGCGTCGGGCGCAGCCGAGGCCGTTTAGGGATCGGGCGAGACAGAGTTTGTGGATCCTGGCGTCGGGCGCAGCCGAGGCAGTTTTTAGGGATCAGGCGAGATGGAGTTTGTGGATCCTGGCGTCAGGCGCAGTCGAGACAGTTTTTAGGTTCGGGCGAGACAGAGTTCGCGGATCCTAGCGTTGGGCGCAGCCGATGTAGTTTTTAGAGATTGGGCTTTGGTAGGGGTCGTTTGAATTTTGTGCGTTACCCCGTGCGCGGTTTCTCACAACCGGAGGGGCTGAGCTAACATCGCTTGCCTCGATAGCTCGAGTGACGCACTCGGTGAGCTCGCTAACGGGCACGTTCGAGTGAAGTCCGGGTCCATCGTTCGTGACGGGGTCGGCATAGCCCTCATGTGGCACTCCACTGCTCCTTAACCTACAACCCGGTAGATGTCTGGGTCATTCCGGAGACCGACCCGGGTGGCCCGTTGGCCTCCCCTCGATGGAGATTATGTGGGTTTGGCGGGAGGTTAGGATCGAATGAGAAGATTGAGATGACCCTGTCTGCTTCGGGGCAGACTGGGACAGGGCTGCTCGGGGCTGATCTGCGTTTTCTCCCCTGACTCTGTTTGACGCGAGGCGGCCTCAAGCCCTTCATGGGCCGGCCTTCGAACCTCGGTCGATCGTTGCTCATGTTTGAGTGAGGCAACTGCCTCTTCGTGACGCAATATGGAGCGTTGTGATGCATTTAACTGCATATGCAATGCCTCGGATGTATGGAATGAATGAATGCATGTATAGATGAACGAATGGTTATATAAAGAAATAGTGGGGGTTGGTAATGTTACCTTGATGACTCGAGTGACGGGGTTTGAGGAGCTCCAATCAGAAATGTCCGACTAGGATCCGTGTTCGTTGTTCGCGACGGAGTCGACATGGCCCACATGGGGCGTCCCTCTGCTCCTTACCTGTCTCTCGGCGTTTCGCCTGAGCCGTTCGATCGACTCAGGAATCCTGTTGGTTTCTCCTGACGGAGATCCCGTTGTTTGGGCCTTTCCATGTCTCGCCTGGGAAGGCGGAGGGCCGCCTACGCACAGTGGCGCCTTGTTTCTTACGCCCGGCGTGCGGTAGTGGTGGGCCATACCCAGGCCACGTCCCGTCTGACCAAGCATCATTCCGTTGGGCAGGGTGCGTCCCATCGGTCAGGGAGCATCTCATCCGCATTGAATGGGGGAAGGGAGAGGGTTTTTCGCCCCCGTCGTTTCGCCTTTCCCCAATCGCTGCGCCTTTCCCAACCGATGTGCCTCTTTCTTTAAGTAGGGGAAGGGAGAGGGCTTCTGTTCCGTTCCTTCGCCTATTCCTCATCTGCCGTCTCTTCTTCTTCTTCCTTCTCGTCAAGAGCGTTTGAGTGCCGCGGCGGTTCCTAGGAGAGAAAAGGGGAGAGTGATGGAGAGGAGAAAACTCACAGATCCATTCGCGAACCTAGAGTGCAATGTCGAGCTAGAGGTTATCCGTCGTGAGGGAGTCGGTGCTGGCTGCCTTCGCCGAGAAGGGGTTTCTGCCGCCGAAGGAGGTGGCGCACAGGAGGGCTCCTGCGGGGGAGGATTTCCCGCAACCTCGGGCCGGCGAGGTTGTTTCCTTCCTCGCCTTCCATGAGCACGGGTTAGGATACCCCGCGCACTGGTTCCTGCGCGGGCTCCTCAATGAGTGGGGCCTAGAGCTGCAGCACCTCAATCCGACTGGGGTGCTGCATATTGCCGGCTTCGTCACCGTGTGCGAGGCCTTCCTTGGAATGGAGCCGCACGTGGACTTCTTCCGACGGATGTTCTCCGGGCGAGCTTTGTCGGAGGGGAAGCCGCACATGGTCGCGTCGGTGGGGGGTTTCGAGCTGTAGAAGAAACCGAGCACGTCAGGCTCGTACCCCGTGTACATCCCCTGTGATTCCAATCGGGGGTGGCAGAGAGGAAGGGAGGTGAGATGTCACCGACCATCTGCGAGCTTGGACGAAGAGCTCGATGTAGCCATGGCGAAAGTGATGTGGTCCGGGTCGACGGTGTCGCGGTGACGGTGTTGAGGTCAGTCACAGTGCAGTGGTGGCACAGAGGCGGCGGTGAAGACGTTAGTGGAGCTTCCCATCGTTGGCTGCGCCCCTCACTAGATCGGATTAGGTTTGTCGGTGGGTGTGGCGGTTCACGGTGGACCTCGTACTGAGAGCTGTCGGCCTCCACCTCTCTTTATAGCGCAGTGCGACGAGGCCCACCAACCATGTAGGGTTGGATGCTCCCGATCAGGGCGCGAGGTCAAGGCCCAACTCGGTCGTTGGGCCGAGCTGGAGAGATCAACACTAACATGGCCATGCTTCCCTGTGTGTATTGGCAAGGTTTGTTGTTGTAGAACTGAACCCATACATAGTCAAAGAGGCCTGTCTGAAGGGCTTTGCCGACCCACTGTTCAGGGAAAGGACATTGCGGCGCCGCTGGCAGGTAGACCTCCTTGCCCTTGGCATTGGCAGCGTAGGACTTGGAGGTATGCCGCAAGGGCTCCATAGTAGTCAGGGTTTCCTCCCTCGATGTCGAAGTCGACACCATCGAGCACGGCGTCGCCAAGCGGCCTCTTGTCGGAGTGCCCACCAAGGAAATTGTTCCAGATGTACTGGGCAAGCTTGAAGGCGTCTTGCTTGGAGTTGAGGGAGTAGCCTCCAGCGCCACCGTCGATGGAGAGCATGACCTTGACACCCTTGGACTGGCAGGAGTTGATGTCTGCGGTGAGGTTTGTGCAGGCGTTGGAGTAGGGGTCGCAGTGACCCACGAGGTTCAGCTGCGGCTTCTTCCCCGAGCCGAAGCTGCAGAGGAAGGCAATGTTGACAAAGGCATAGTTGCCGGTGGCGCAGGTGTCGGCGAGGGTGCCCTCGTTGCCGTTCTGGCCCCAGTAGATGGCAATGCTGCCGCCATGGCTCCCGGGTAGAGCCGAGGGTACAAGGAAGCCGATGAAGAGGCAGGCAAGGGAGGAAGATGAAGCGTAAGTTGCCATTCTTGCCATAGCTTGAGCTCGATCGAACCCTTTGTGTTGTTGTTGTGCTTGTGCATGCGCCGCTGCTGATTGATTTATATATACAATGGGACTTGGAGTGATGATTGTTTTTTAGTGGAGACGTGCCTTGTGGATCGACGAATGTCGCTGTCAAGGTAACTCCCTCAACTCAACGCCTACGTAGTTTGGTTTGGTTGGTCCTAGTTTAACCATGGCCCGTCTGTCGCTACGGTACGTTGCTGTTTCTTGGCAGTTGCCACAGCAGCGTCGAGGCAGATTCATCCGCGTTTTCTTTCTTGGATGGATGGACTGGAACTTGGGATTGGATTGGAGTAGTAGTTTAGCTTGGGCTTGATCAGGGCCCGGCCTGCTACTCCTGCCCGCAGATGTGAGCTATCGGCCCACCACCGGCCCGGTCGGTCGGTCCGAACTCCGAAGGACAAGCAAAGCAAGACCGAGGAGGGGGGAGGCAGAGGCAGCAGAGCAGAGAGATCTCGTTCGCCTACTCCTCCAGTCTTCCTCCTCGTCGCCTCCGACCGATCCGGCCAACACAACCATGGCGGAGGATGCTACGAGCAGCCACCCGTCACGCTACGTCAAGCTCACCAAGGACCAGGACGCCCCCGCCGAGGACATCCGCCCCGGCGAGCTCAACCAGCCAGTACACGTCCCGCAGGTGTCGCTCTCTCTTCTTAGGGTATGTATCCCTCCTCCGATGGGTTCGATCTGAATCTCATCCCTACTCCCTTGCCCGACACCAGCTCGAAGGCCGGAGGTGCAGCGAGTGCGGCCAGGTCCTGCCCGAGAGCTACGAGCCGCCCGCCGACGAGCCCTGGACCACCGGGATCTTCGGATGCACCGATGACCCCGAGACCTGTATGTAATCTAATCTCTCTTCCACCTCACCCATCAATGTTTACGGTGGCAAACATCCAAATAGCTCGTTGCATTATCTTTGTTAGTCAACACTACCAGGAGCAGACAGGGGTGCATGTGCATCGCATCGCCTGCCATCACCTTGATCTACCATTTCAGTCCCCACGTCATTTCACAAAACCTGCATCATCGTCATTATCTGTCGAGTCATGTGGGTTTTTGGAGGCTTTTCATGATGGATTCCATGAAAATCGGGCTCAGTGGTAGGGAGAATCCATTGATTGATTGAGGCATTAGTTGCCCCTCGTTTCATGCTCTTCGGATGGACGTTGGATTCAGGGTCTGATGTGGCATTTCGTTTTAGATGTGGGAAATGCTATTTGGACTTGGCCATGGTGGTCCGATTCTGTCGAAAAATTTTAGCGAAAACTTTTAGCCACAGATGTCTCAGCGCCAATATTCATGCATCATTCAATATTTGCGTTTGTAAAGTATTCATGGTTGTTAGCGACATACTTGCTCCCACGTCGCCCATGTTCCATGGTTCTCCTGAAGTATAGCTAGGGTAGGTTGCTGGTTGATTGATGAGTCATACGGTGTACATGTACTTAACCGGCTGGGCAACTCTGAATACAACTGAGGGTTGCTTTCCACCTCTTACAATGACGTAGGACAAGGTATGTCGACCTAGCAGTGCAAAGAATGAAAGAAATACCTGAACATTCTGTTTTTTACCCACCGTTTAAGGCCTGGTTTGGATGTTGTCGGATTCACCTCAATCCACATGTGTTGCGGTGGATTGGAGTGGAACTTGAACTAAATTCCACCCCAACACATGTGGATTGATGTGAATCCGACTAAATGTTGATATAAAATCTCACCCCAAGCTCAGCATCCAGTTTCTCTGTTTCTAATTATTGTGTAGCCTACATACAGAAGAGGTTAGGTTAAGCCAAATCTGCTGCTTAGTCCAAACCTCCTGGCCTCCTTAGTAGCTTTGGGTCCACCACTGAGCCCATCTTTTATGATCTGCCATGTGCAGAGACTTAACAGAAGATGGTGCTATTTTGTGATAAATCGTTTTATGAGCATTATATGTCGATGATGTGTCTGACTGAAATTGTGCTCAGTACCCAAGAATGATCATGGTACTATGGATTCTTTACATGTTTCAAAGGATAGAATGCTTCTTGTATTCCTTATGATGTGACTCATAAGTCCAGGGTACATTGGTAAGCTATGCTTGAAATTGAGAAAGTATTCCTTGTTTGCCTTCTTGGAGTTGATCTACTTGGCTCATGCATAATACTTTTGTTGGAGTCATAGTTAATAGAGTTTAAGGCCAGATAAGTAAGAGTTATCTTATTTCCATGTGTCTTCTTAATTTCTTCATATCTTTACTTTGAGGAAGCTGTGCGCCTGTGCCATAGGTTAAATTGCTCTTACTTTGGCATTTTTCTTTGTTTTTCCCTAAGCATTTGCTATGCCTGATCAAATGTTACTTTATGTAGCACTTTTATACGTTGCTGTGCTCTATGAAATAATCAGATTCGGATTGTCGAACTATCAAAGATTAACATAACTGCTTTCTTTGCAGCACTTTAATACCAGATTTGGCTTTGTGCGTCATTTATCTCTTTGTCCATATTTGTATGAGTGCTATTTCTAGAATGCTGATTTGAAAGAAAGGTTGCTAGCAGAAGATCATGTAACTATCAAATTGTCTGTTCATTGTGACACTAGGCCGAACTGGGTTGTTTTGCCCTTGCGTGCTGTTTGGGCGCAATGTGGAGGCTCTTAGGGAGGACATCCCTTGGACAACTCCTTGCGTGTGCCATGCTGTGTTTGTTGAAGGAGGGATCACGCTGGCGATTCTGACAGCAATATTTCATGGTGTTGATCCAAGGAGCTCATTCCTGATTGGAGAAGGTCTGGTGTTCAGTTGGTGGTTATGTGCTACCTATACTGGCATCTTCCGCCAGGAACTTCAGAGGAAATATCATCTCAAGGTGCAATCTATCTTGGCTGCTTTCCACTGTTAAGAAGTTACAGCTAGGTATTTCCTCCGTGTGGCTATGCACTTACAGCTAGCTAACTAGTTGCTGTTGTCTTGTTTTGCTCCAGAACTCTCCGTGTGACCCATGCATGGTCCACTGCTGCTTGCACTGGTGTGCGAACTGCCAGGAGCATCGCGAGAGGAGGGGACGGCTGGCAGAGAACAATGCCGTGCCCATGACTGTTGTGAACCCACCTCCAGTTCAAGAGATGAGCATGTCAGAGAACCGTGGTCCTGCGGCCCTGGAGAACGGGGCAGGCAACGCTGAGCATGAAGCAGAGAAGAGTGAGCACGATGATGTGGAGGTCATTCCTCTATAGGCTCGAGGATCGGAGTGAGGACTAGGATGGATAGCAATAGTATGGAACCCGTTCCATCCGAATGAGTGTGTGGTTATTTTCATATGTATCTAACGAACGCTGATGACGATATATGATAGCACAGATCTTCTGATCTAGTTGTTGTTTTTTCAACCAAAAAAATAGATTGGTAACAAATTTACTCTTCCTGTAACAATTTTACCAGATCAACTGTCTGCCATATGGTTTCTGCTGCCGGTTTTGTCATTGTCTCAACAAGAAGTTAGAAGTTGGTGTAGTAGTAGTAATATAATACTGTAGTGCGGTTCGGCGTGCTGCCGCCCAAGTTTTGTTCAATCTTTCGCTCCGCAAAAAAAAGAGAAAAAGCCTTTTCCGAACTTTGGCTTGGCCAAAAAAGAATTATAATTCAGATAATCTCTTAAATCTTCCGCCTGGTAAAAAGATAGAGGAAAAAACCAGAAGGTTTTCGCAGCTGTGTTTGTTCCCATCAGACAAAAATTTAGCACTCATATCGAATGTTAGACACGTGCATGGACTAATTACAAAGCTAAATATATAGATTGAAACTAATTTACGAGACGAATTTTCTAAGCATAATTAGTCTATAATTTGATAATATAGTGCTATAATAAACATATGCTAATGATAGATTAATTAGACTTAATGAATTCATCTAATTTATTTTATTATTATTATCCAAATATTAGATGTGTCACCCACGGTGACACCCTGTACTTTAGTCCCCTGCAGCTCACCTACCTTGAAAGACGGAGCCGATTGGATTGGATTTGGGGAAGAGCAAGACGATGGGGTTCGAGGTTCGCCTACCATGGCCGCTCCTCAACTCAGCGCGCCGCCGCCGCCGCCCTCCTTCCCGTGGCATCCATGCCGCCGCCGACTCCCACGGTTTTGGTTTCTTTCTCATGCCTCCCGCCGCCGCCGCTGCCGCTGCTTCACATCTTCTTCTTCTTTTTCATTTCACCAATAACGTCAGTTTCTTCGCCGCGCTTCTCCTCTCCTCCCACAACTCCCACAACAGAAAGGAGTTCTCTTGTGCTCCTACTAATTTACTTTACTGATGAATACTTTCCCCTCCTTGAGCGACGTCAGCCAATATATACTCCGTTTCTTCGATCTCAGCTCAATGTTCTATTTTCTACTATAGGCAAAGGTTCAAGCAAATTCTTTCTGCCTGGTGCAACAGCCGCAGTTCTTGCCATGCTTGGCGCTCTACATGCTAGACGTATGTATGATGACAAGAAAGTAAGCCATGCATTTGTGCGTTTTACTTACTCCATTAAGTACCAGTTACATTACAATTAATATTCCACCCATACTTAAACTGCTTTCATAAACAAATGTCTGGGGTCTGGAATTCATTTTCATGCAAGGTCATCGAAAGCAAGGACAAAGGAATTGAACCACAATTCTCGCCAGATATCAGGGTACTGCTACTCTAGTTAGCACAACCATCTGTCACTCCTGTACCTTGCCTTCTCACTGCAGAATGGTGTCATTTGCAATACAGGCTTCATTTTTTAGGCTCCTACCATTGCGTACCATGTCACGTTTCTGGGGAATCTTGATGGAAGTGGTTCGTATTCCTCTACCCATACAAGCTGATGTATTATTTTCCGTCTTTTCTCTTTGATAGTATCATCACTTGCAGTGCAGGATGTTCCAGTTTTCATGCGCCCCACCATCTACAAAGCATGGGCTAGAGCATTTCACTCTGGTATGTCTTTACCTTTGCTGATGCCTTCTTATTTGCGTCAATGCAAAGTTCATCTGCCAAATTTTTTTTTACCAGTCTCTACTTACCCTGTGCTTCATTTAAAGCATCTGTTTCTGATCTGCATGTTTGTACTCTGAATAGTGATAGATAGGGTTCCTCCCCTGATATATACTATAGCCATGTAAATGCTTACTGCTCTAATGGTCGCTGTAATAACTTACTGGTTCTTTAGGTCTGTTGTTGGAAGAAACCATTGCCTAATAGCATAGCTTATGCATGTTTTCATCTTTTCGTACTCATGAGAACTTGATAGTTGTTATGTCACTGTTTTCAAAAACTTTGCCACTCATTTGGAATGAAATGTTGACCCCTGAATGTTGTAGATTTGCAAGAAGTTGCTCTTCCTCTAGAAGAATATCCGTCTTTGCAGGCATTCTTCATCCATGGGTCTCAAAGAAGGAGCGAGGCCCATTGATCCAGATCCAAACTGTCTGGTAACTGGTAACAAGATAGTTATTCTGTATAGCCATTAGTCTTATATGGTGATGACTAAAGACTGGGTCTGTATTGTGTTCAATTGTACCGTTAGGTGAGTCCTGTGGATGGTCGAGTTTTGAGGTTTGGAGAGCTAAGAGGTCCAGGAACCATGATTGAGCAAGTGAAAGGCTTTTCTTATTCTGTTTCTTCTCTTCTTGGCACGAGTTCATCCCTTCACGATGCCGCAGAAGAACTTTCTGGGGAACAGATACAGGAAAATATGCCTGAGAATTGTAATGCAAAATCATGGTGGCGAGTGTCAGTTGCTTCACCTAAACTACGGGATCAAACACTATCGAGGTATTTATACCATAAATAAAGGATGATTTAGAATCACAAATTTCCGATACAACTGCATAAGCTACTCACCAAGTTCACATCAATTAACATATTATTTCCCACCATGCAACAGTACACAAAAAAGCATATTCACTTGCAATTAACTCTACTTCATGCATGGTTATGTTTTTTTATCACCCTTTATATCTGAACATTTCAACAACAATGTCTAATAGCACATAACTCCAGCATGCTGCACAAAACTGTGATATTAATGCGCAATTTATCTTCTTGAGTCATGATAAAACTTCACTTTTGTACAATACCGTGAGTCGAGCTATTTTATCTCAGACCAGCAGTTTGCTTTTTCCTTCATTTCGAGGTGATTATAAAATACAAAATCTTTTCTGTTACTACTGTTTAGCGTGCCTATGTTTTGACAATTTTGTGGTATTAATTTGACTTGTCCTTGCCAGCCCAAAGAAAGGCATGTTTTACTGTGTCATATATTTGCACCCTGGTGATTATCATCGAGTCCATTCTCCTGTTGATTGGAACATTTTGAAACGTCGGCATTTCTCAGGTTTGTCCATACCCTACCAGTACCAGACTAATGTGGTAGGTTGATGTAAGAGTGATACAATACAATCGAAGTGTATTTGCAGGCCATCTTTTCCCTCAGAATGAACGTGCTGTGCGCACCATCAGAAACCTGTATGTTGATAACGAAAGGGTAATTTTGCTTAGCTGTTTTAGCATTCGTTTCAGATATGGAAGCAAGTTGACGAGGAGAAATAAAATCTGGTTTTCGATGGCTGTTAATGACAGGTAGTGCTTGAAGGGCAATGGAAAGAAGGTTTTGTTGCAATTGCTGCAATTGGTGCTACTAATGTTGGATCAATCAGGGTCATTTCTCGTGCTGTGAAAAATGAATGCCGGTTGCCAATGAATTTGTGAAGCTTTTAACAGATGGTATTTTTGGATGGCAGATAAGTATTGAACCTGAGCTGAGGACAAATAGGGCAGCGTCAAGGATGGTTCACTCGATGCCTCCTGAGGAACGTGTTTATGAGCCGGAAGGGACCGGCGTGATGGTTAAAAGGGTGAAGAGGTACATTGCCCTTGCCTGAGCTGCTACTGCAGTGTAGCAGCTAGAGCTATATTATATTTTTAAGAAAGATATTGGGAGTGGTAACTGGAAGAAGCGCAATGGTTGGCAGGTAGCAGGATTCAAGATGGGATCAACCGTGGTGGTGGTATTTGAAGCTCCTGTGTCCAAGTGCAGGGCAAGGGAGGAGGCGGAGGAGGGCAGAGCAGATTTCGGTTTCTGCATCAGGGCTGGAGACAAGGTGAGGATGGGAGAAGCGATTGCGCGGTGGAGTAGCGGATCAGGATGACATTACTCAGCCTTTTGTGGTGTGGCTGGTACTCCGTTGTTTTTGGGTGTAAGAGGAGACGGTCCTGTGCATTGCTTATTTGCTGCTGGGGCGAGGGCTAGCTCCTAACAGAGAAGAAATCTGTAGCGTGTGTAGTGCTCTACTTGTGGTTTTTGAATTTTTGATACTGCTCCAGATCACAGAGGGATGGCTTCAGATGTACTGCCATAGATGTGCTGCTTCTGTTAATAAATCTCATGGTTCCTTCCCACATAGTGACAGGGGAAACAGCTAGGAGCTGCATTCGGGCTTGCCAGGGGAACCCACTTGACTTACCAATCTGGCCTGGTGAAGTGCCGCGATAGCACGAAGAAAAAAGTATAGCATCTTAGTGCGACGTATCATAGTCTGACATGGAATTAGTGCATTTGGAGGCTCTCGGCTTTCCATTTTGCCCTATCAACGGTGAATCTTGCGCGATAGATTTTCTAATTTCGACTTATGTTTAGAGAAGGTTCTTTTTCAGAGCTGTTTTTTTTCTTCTTGTTATTATTCTCTCAAGTTTATTGGTCTGCCGGTGTCCTGGCTTTGTGCAATGCGAAACATGAACTAATGGTAGCACTAGAAATTTGGACTCTGTATGTAAGCAAATGAATGAATGAATCCAAGGCCGATGCGATGATGAATGTAGTTGGCAGGCTATTTCTTTCTCAATCAGCGTACACCTCTCCCAGTCCCAGTCCCAGGGGAGGCTACCATCTTCGTCGCCGATAAATATAATAATATAATATACGCACTCATTCATAATTTCATATACGCACTCATTCACTCATACAGTATTCAGTAGCAGGTGTAGTAGTTTGGTTTCAAAAAATCAAAAGAAAAGAATAGCAGAGCAGAGCAGGTCTGCGTGTCCAACTCCAACGGCGGATCCACCGAACCGAAGGAGGCGAGGGATCCATCCATCCACCAACCGCCTCTCTCTGGCTCTCTGCCGTGCCCGGCTGCTGCTCCTGCTCGCCCTCCTCTCCTCCTCGTACACCCATCCGTCCGTCCATCCAATGCGATGCTGTCGTTGGCGCGCCGGCCGCTCTCCGCCGCCGTCCCCACGGGCAACCTCCTCGGCATCCATCTCTTCCAGTGCCCTGTGCGTACCCTACCCTACCACCTCCATTCCTCTGCCGCGCCCGCGCCGTCCTAATCCATTTCCATTCCCGATTGTTTCCCAAACGCAGGACGCCGTTGGCATCGTCTCCAAGCTCTCGGAATGCATCGCCTCCCGCGGGGCTAAAGTGGGCTTCGACAGAATGCTATTTTGCAATGGGGCTTCGTCAGGATGTCATTATCAAGTACGACACAACTGCTAGGATGCCATCCGAGGGAATTTGGAGCCTTTTATTTCCCTTCTACCCCTCCCTTCTCTCTTTTTCTTTCACGGTCCCGCAACCGCGCGCATGAAGTCCAGGCAGCACAGGTGCTGATTGAGCTCATTCGTGCTCTCCTCACCGTGTACTCTCGGACGACGTGCGTTAGATCGATCGTTTCTATGTCTATGTGATTGATTGGGAAACTGGGTATGCAACATATGCATACCTACATAGCGGGGAAACATAGCGGGGAAACGGACATAAATATTGATGAAAGTAGATATTTTTGGTTTAAAAAAAAATATTTGTAGAGTTTTTTTAGTTAGTCCTAACCCTCCACGTTCAACCCAACTCATTCTTTTTTTTAAAGAACGAAACCAACGCATTCAGTCCACGGTTAAATTTCTTCTAAACCACCGTCTTCTCTCTCTCCTTATCCTTTCCTTTCTCCATCCCGTGAGTCTCGTCCCCACACTCTTTCTTCTCTGCGCTAGATGCGACCGCTCAGGCAAGGCGTGCATGGCGCGGCGGAGGGTGGGTGCGCGGCGTGGCAGGGGTGCTCGCAGACAGGCGCGTGGTGGCGCGGCGCGCCAGCGTTGAGCTTAGCAGCACATCGGCGAGCGCGTGGCAGCGGACAGCGCGGGCGCATGCGACGGCAACCACGCGGCAGCGACCACAGCAGCGAGCGCATGCGAGAGCGCGGCAGCCGTATCGGTGAGGAAGAAGCCCTCATTGAAGAAAAGACTCCTTCGCCCTCAACGCCAAATCTCCGATGGCCGTCGCCGTGTGTCCCTGCTCGATGGCCGCGCCCGGCAACTCCTTCTCCGTGCCGGGTGGCCGCGGCCGCGCCTATCTCGACGGCTGCGCCCCACGGCTTCTTTCTCTGCGTCTGTGACAGCGATCGTCTTCCCCATTTGCGTGGTCGCTGTTGAAGGGGAATAAAAGAGAGAAGGGAGGGGTAGAAGGGGAATAAAAGGCTCTAAATTTCCTTGTATGGCATTCTAGCGGTTGTGTCGCACTTGATAAATGGCATCCTGACGAAGCCCCGTTGCGAGATGGCATTCAGTCGAAGGCCACTTCTCATAATAGTCTCTCACCAAATAGCTCCCTCCCACGGCGGCAACATCCACAGCGTCGACGTCTTCGTCCCCGACGACAAGCCCATCTTCTACTCCCGCGGGTATGGATGGATGGATGGATGGGTTGCAGCATGTTTCGTTTGCATTGCTCTGCCAACGGGACTGCTTGTTATTTTTATATACTCTTTATTATTATTACTGTATGTATGTAATTTGGGGTATCCATCCCTTGATTAATTCCTTCCTTTGCGGTTTGTTTGACATCCCAGTGAGTTCACCTACAGCCCAAGGCTCTGGCCGCGTCATGAGCTCCACAACGATTTCCTCAATGTCTCCCGCTGCTTCAATGCACAAACATCCACCGTACGAGTACCCGATCTTGACCCCAAATACAACATCTCCATCCTCGCATCAAAGCAGGTTAGTTTCTCTGTTTCCCAGCCCTTCCGTACCACCGAACCTATTTTGGATGGTTATAAGCCGCCTTCCCTTCGGTCAGTATATATGTACCAAGGCCTCGTTGAGATGGCGAAATTTTTTGAGAAATGGTACCGTAGCACTTTCGTTGTTATTTGACAATTAGTGTCCAATCATAGTCTAATTAGGCTTAAAAGATTCGTCTCGTGAATTTCGTCTAAACTGTGTAATTAGTTTTATTTTTTATTTATATTTAATACTTCGTGCATACGTCAAAGATTCGATGTGACAGGAAATCTTAAAAAATTTTGCAAAATTTTGGGAACTAAACAGGCACCAATAGGAACCATTTCTCTTCTTCGCTCTAGGACCACTGCTTGTTCGATTTGCTGCATAGATGGCAAGAAGGCAGGCTTCCAGTACACATTAATTGTGTCATAAGGTAATTAAGGCCGGTCAATTTTTATTTTTATTTTTATTTTTTTTACACAACTGTTTTTTTTTTCTTTTTCTGTTTGGCCCCATCCATGTGTTAGTTTGTTATGTCAGCCTCCTTTCCTCTAGCAAAAGCAAACACCTCTCATTCAGATACATATATACACTCCTCTCACTGTATACAGCAACCATGATAGACCACAAGATAATCATGTACGGCGTTTTCTGCAGAGGCATGGGATCCCATACCACTACTTACCCACCGCACCTGGCAACAAAAGAGAGCAAGAGATCTTGGAATTGATCCAGGGTACAGATTTTGTTGTCCTGGCAAGATACATGCAGGTAAAGAGTGCTTCTTCTTTCTTTTCTTCTTCTAAGAATCTTATCTTATTATCCATAGTTCAGAGTGAATGCCAAAAGATCATGAAAACGAGCAAAGTGCTAGCGTCGCATGATCTCTATAAGGCATACAAAACTCAGGTCACCCTTTGAATATTCTCCAGAGCTTCTTGTCTTTATTTTTGAGGTGTAATATAACACTAAAAGCTTGCTGTTTGTGTTAGGGACACCCAGCATGTTTAGTCAATGTCTCTCTGAGCAGATGAAGTCAGAGCTATTCACTACCTCAACCTTCCATGGCTTTCGATATTATATATATAAGCTACCTGTTTTTCTTCTCCTCTAAACAAAAATTCTTCCACTTCTATAAAACCATTTTGCATAGAACAGATAACGATAGGCTGGCGTATCATTGTCCTTCTCATCTCTATGGCCATAAGGTCAGCATCAATGTTTAATACGGACTTGTGTCACCTCACCCATACATCTTTGACACATATTCGTTCTTCCTTGCAGATACTCTCAGAAAGCTTCTTAAAAGCATATGGTAAAGACATTATCAATATTCATCATGGCCTTCTTCCCTCATTTAAGGGAGGGAATCCTTCAAGACAGGTATCACACTTGTGTTAACCTAATCTGCTATCTACTTTTTAAAAAAGAAAAGAAGAAGAAGAGGTATTATGTACCATTTTTCAGGCCTTCAATGCTGGGGTGAAGTTAATCGGGGCAACTAGCCATTTCGTTACTCAGGAACTTGATGCTGGGCCAATCATTGAACAGATGGTATTCATACTTTTCACTCAGCAGCTAACTTAGGTGTCGAATTGATGGATTGTATCATCAGTTACAATTGGTAGTAAACTATACATGATGTATGCCAGATTCTGTCTATCGATGTGTGGAATCGTCTTTGGCAAACAGTTAGTTTTTTTTTTGAACGCACAGTCAGTTTGTTTTTAGAGTCCCTTTTAGCCTAAGACTGTAGGGTTTCATATAGTAATTAGCACTGACCTTCATTCAAGGGGACCCTACGTTCATGCTTGAAGACATTGCCATCAGAGCTCTGTGACATTTGTTGTGCAGTGAGATTCATGGATGGGAAGTTATACTAAAACATGACGCTTTTAATCTTGCCTATTTCCAGTTGGCGGTTGGAGATTTAGTTTTTCTCTCTTGTTTTTTTTCCCTATGCTGCAGGTTGAATGAGTTTCTCACCGAGACACGTTACAGAGTTTTGTTGTCAAGTATGAGAGCCTTGAGAAGCAGTGCCTAGCAGAGGCTATCAAGTCATACTGCGAGCTCCGTGTCCTACCATATGAACTGAAGAAGACTGTCGTGTTCTGAGCTCCCTTTATTTTCTGTCTTATACTTTTGTGGATTGGTGTGTGTATGTTTTTTTCCTCACAGAACAAGTGATAGATGATTCACTTTTTAATATATCTCAACAATCGCTTCCTAGCTTTGTATGATCGTGCATAACTGTTCGGCTGAAAGTTTCACCGGCTGATAAACCGGCTGAAACTGATTTGCTATGAGAAAAGAACACTGTTCTACGGTTGATAAACCAGACTGATAAGTTCGAGCGAACAGGCAGGCAAGCAGTTATTCATCGAATGCTTGCTTGTTCGTGGCAATTTTGATTCACGTACTTCTGCATCGTTTGAGAGAATTTTGATTCGCATACTTCTTCATTGAGTTTGCTAAGGTATCATGGTACATATCACCGACAAACATCTACTGTGCTTATCTGGCTCATATACATTTCCCAAAGTGAGAGAACTAAACTTTACAGGTTCTAAGATGTTTGCTTAAATATAATAATACTATTATTATTAGCTCTAAAAATATTGTTAATATGTGTTTCGTTATAGGATATAGCGGGACGGGATGGATCTATTTTTTCCGATGAGATGGTACGGTCTTAGGGGTTGTTTGGTTCACTCCTCACCTTCTAAATCTAAATCTAGTCTCATTTAATCCTATTTAGTCATTTTTACCCAAACACTATGATTAAATGGGACTAAAAAATACATTAACCAACTAGTCGTCCAAGTGTTACTAAATGGAACTAAAGCCCACCTTTTAGTCAGCCTGCATCACCTAACTTTAGATCAAACACCCTGACTAAAAAGAATTTAAAAAACATTTTTTTATTTTTTATAGTCCACCAAACTAAACATGGAGTGGCTAAACCTTAGGAGATGGTTTAAGTTGACTAAACTTTAAGAACTGTGAACCAAACACGCCCTTTTTTTTTATTTTCTTTCCTCACTCTCCGAGTCGGTTCTTCTTCTCCTCTCCCCAGTGGTCCAGCTCGCCCCTTCGCCCGCCGCCTGAACTCGTCTCGCCCGCGGCCGATCTCCTCCCTCCGCTCGCCGCGCCGCAACCCGGAGAGGAGACCGCGCTCGGTCGAGCATCACCTGGGGCCCAGCGTCCTCGCGACCAGCTCCGGCGCGGCCAGCACACAGCTCCACAGGTAGGTCCCCCGTCCGGACAGCGCCACGATCTTCTTCTTCTCTCTCCTTCCCACGCCAACAGCTCGTCCCTCTCGGTCCCTCTCCGTCTGCTTGATTCTGCTCCTCTGACCGGCCCTCGCTCTAAAATTGTCATTACGCACCCAATCCGCTTGTAGCTGTATGCTGCAACCCTACTCTGCCTTGTCTTCTTCCATCACCCTAAGCATACTCATCAACGACTGGGCCGGCCGTCGCTGCTGTCCTACTTTGCCACCCGCCACCTTCGCCAGTTATTCCCTCCCCTTGGTCTTCCCTTCCTGCTGTGCGAAGCCGTGCGCCCAAACCTTAACGTAAATCGTAGGTACGGCCTCTCCTTGGTCTTCCCTTCCTGCTGTGCGAAACCGTGCGCCCAACCCTAACATACTATTCGTAATCGGATCTGAATCTAATTACAAGTGTATATGCATGTATTATGATTTATGCCTACTAACCTCGATTGCTTTGCAAAAAAATAATTGGGTGTACATGCGTATATTGTATCAATCACATGCTTTCTATGCCATTGTATTCGCTGGGTTCTGGTCAATACAAGTTGATTGCTCTGTTTTTAATCTTACACATATATGGGGGCATAATTTTTCTTTGGTCTGTCAACTGTAAACATGTGGGCTATGTTTGCTCTTACCTTAAATGATTGGTTGGGGTCAGTTTAGAGCTTCAGGCCCAAACATGACTACTTAAGAGACAGGGTTTTATTCCCCAAACTGAGAGACCCAGGGGTTACGTTTCGTCTCTTCACCACAATTACTACTTGCCAGATGTGTGGTTGTTCCGAAATTTCTTGACTATGTTTCAAAACAAAAATGCAAATAATTGATGTGTCCTGTCCTGATCCAAGTTTTTTCTTGCAGCAAATTGCACCAAAAACTGCTTGGGACTAAAAGGCTTTGTTGTTGTTGTTGCAAATTGCACCAAAAACATTGATCTCCTTCCTTTTGTATCTGAGATTCTGAGGTATTTTTGGCTCACGCTGAAGAATTAGTTTGCACTTTGGAGAAAAATGAGCGGTGCTCCAAAGAGGTTGCACGAGGAGGGTAGCCACACCACGCCAGCAAAACGGCCTTTGGATGACAGCAGCTTGTATTCGAGTCCTGGGAAAGTTATTCAGTCCAGTGGCAGTGATTTCCATAGTTCTTTTGAACATGATGGTAGATTTGCAAAAATACAACGTGTGGAGCCTCGTGATGATAAGAGGCCATCCCTAACACATCGGATGCCTGTTAGCTCCACCAACTTTGCTGACCACCCCATCTCGTCTGACAGCAGATCAGAATCAAAGCAAAATAAAGATGCAAGGGACACTAAGGCAGATGATCGTGAGACAAAAGCTGATGCTAGGGATGTCTATAGTGATTCAAGGATTGAAATTCAGGCTAATAAAATTCAGGGTGATGTAAAGGTAGACAATAGAGCAGATGAAAGCGAAATAAAGGCTGACAGGAGGGGCCATCCTGATTACAAAGGTGACATCAAATTTGACAAGGATTGCCATTCTACTGTTCCAGCAAACATAGGCTGGAAGGACAACATGGAACATAGGGGTAAAAGATATTTTGAACAGCCAGCTGATAATGTGGATGGGCGTTTGACTTTGCCCCATCCTAGTTTACAAGGTACTGATGAAACTCTCAAATTTCCAATTTCTGTGGAAGAACGTAACTCCAAGGTTGCACATGAATCTGTTGGTGACAACAAAGCTGAACCAAGAAGTGAAGATAAATTCAAAGACAAGGACCGGAAAAAGAAGGATGAGAAGCATAGGGACTTTGGTGCAAGAGAAGGTGATAGAAATGATCGTCGAACCGGTGTACAGCTCAGTGGTAGTGGTGTTGAGCGAAGAGAAATGCAAAGGGAAGATAGGGATGCTGACAATTGGGACAGGGAAAGAAAAGATTCCCTGAGAGACAAGGAAGACAATGATAGGGGGAAGGATTCTGCTTGGAAAGATTCATCTGTAGTAATTGAGAAGGATAACACTATAGTGGAAAAGGCTTCATCCGATGGAGCTGTTAAGAGTGCTGAGCATGGGAATACAGCAACAGAATCCAAGGCACCTAAGCATGATTTATGGAATGCTCATGATAGGGATCCTATGGACAAGAAAAGAGAGAAAGATGTGGATGCAGGGGACAGGCATGAGCAAAGAAGAATATATAATGACAAGGAATCAGATGATAATGGCACCGAAGGAGGTATGGAGAAAGATAAAGAAGTTTCTGGAAGTTTCCAACGCAGGAGGGTGGTGCGACCGAGGGGAGGTAGCTTAGCATCTCATCGCGAACCTCGATTTCGATCCAGAATGCGTGATGGTGAAGGGTAAGCTTGATGCAGCATCCTTGCTATACTTTCAAAGTTTTTCCAACAGCATGATAATATAAAGTAAAATTATATGACGCCCAGGATGGCATGCCCTGGACATCCAGGTGTAACGTCAAGATTCGTTCTGACAGAGAAATTTGACGGGGCTATTCATTTGTTCAATTTTATTGGGGTGGGAATGTGTGTACCTCCTTCACTGGCGAGCCCTCTTCTCTAAGATGCTGGGTTCCTTCTTCTCCATGCCCAGCGTGTTCTCCATTAACTCTGGTGTGTTAGGTTTTCGGGTTAGAGTTTAGGGTTTGGGTTTTGTGGTTCTTGGTGGCCTCCAGCGATAGAGGGATGGCTGTGGAGGTCGCCGGCCCGGGGGTGGTGGTGGTTCATGGGTGGAATGGTGAGGCGGCAGGGTCGCCGCCGGTGCTCGCTGATTTGGTTATGGACGGCGGTCATTGGGCAGAGATGGGCCGTCGTGCTCGCAGTGATTAGGGCTGGCCATGGTGGAGGGCGGTGGCTCCAGTGGAGCCAGGAGGGGCAGTGGATGAGGTGGGGGATTGGGATCCATCATGAGGGAGGGAGGCGGCGTGCATGCCGTGGTCGAGGTCGAGACCGAGGATATGTGGGTGGGGATCGGGACGATGACAGCTCCGTTCTTTCCATCTATTTGTATCGGTTTGGACGCCCAGGATGTCCAGGACATGCTTCCTGGTGGGCACAAAAACAAGTCTGTAATGTAAATGCAGTTGCATGGAATTTTTCATTTCTGGAAATTCAGTCTTCCGTAACTGAGAACTGAAGATAGGGACCTGATGTTAATTTGCTAGAGATTATTAATTAGTGATAGTCCTTGATATCTTTATTTTTTGTTTTGCAGGTCTCAAGGTCAGTCAAATATCTACATTCTTATAGGAGCTGAATACAATGAATACTAATGCTTTCCTTTGGAATGGGAGTAGTCGAAAGATCTGCTTCAGCATATATTCATTTTACACTTCATATAAGATTTTATGCTCAAACTTTCACTTCGGTGTTAGAAGTTGCTTACATTTTTATGTTGGGAGAAATGGAAGTTCTTTACATTTTTGTGTTGGAAGCAATGCATTTTACAGTGTGACAAGTTTTAGTGCGCTTTTCTATTTGGGAATTGTTATGGAAATTGGAAACCATGCATGCATCAGTGTTATAAAAGTTAGAAGTCCAAGTCGGATGTGATCTGTTGGCCAGTTTCTAAAAAGAGTAATATGCAGCAGCGGTCCCTCAATTTGTCCCTGGATGTCATTTGGGTCCCCAAACTATTTAACTTAGAACCATTAACTCACTAAATAATTCACCCAAGGTCCAAAACCTGTGATAAACATTTTGGCTGCTTATTTTGTTAGTACTAACTAAGCATGCTATGTTGATATGGGTGCTAACAAGGTATGAACTAGGGAGAGAGAACATGAAAGAATACAATGCTTAGAGATGCTAAGTATGCAGATTAACACATTAGGTCAGTCAAATACAATGAACCAC